CCGGCTTCAGTAATGACATTCAAATTGTAAATCCAATTTGCCATATTTTACACATTTATGCAGTTTGGGCATGGTAATACAACACTAGGAACCACTTTGTTACTAATCATCAGAGAGTATTTCACATCTCTTGTAATTTTAATCAACTGCATATGTCAGCATGAAAGAATATCAAGGGAAGATTTGGGTATATAATCTAGTATAGATACTTCTGCTTTTAAACCTATGGTGCATGCTATGGAGGTAATCACTCCTCCAATGGAGATATGCCCCTTTTTAGCAGTACAAACTGCTTGCATATGCGCCAGCATAAACGAGGCAGAATTAACTCTTGTGGGTTTAAATAATCCATGAATATAAACAACTCTTTTGCATTTACCTTCCCAATATGGAATGTGATAAATTTGGCAAAAGTATCTAATGGTCGGGTTGTAGATATGAGTTGCATTATTCCCCTCAAAACTATCAACAAGTTACCTGTCATTTGTTCCCAAAAACGACCAAATTCACGTACCCACGAGGTATTTAAAGGTGTCTCACGAACAACACCCTTACTGCGTGGGAAATGCATCAGGTCAGCTATAGTACTTTAGTTATATTCATACTCTCAGTGAAACATTTTAAAGTTGATTGTCCATACAGTGGTAGCACTCACCAACTGAGTAGTGCAAGAGATATATAGCTTAGAATTTCTTAGGTGAGCCACATATAGGTGTGGTATTTTTGTGCACAGAAGTGAGATAATCCTAACCTACCCGACATCCAATGAATTACGTAAAAAAGAGTCATCGGCATACCTTGTTGGAACAATAGTTCGGTTAAATAGAGTTTCGTAGCGCTTTTTCTACTTTCCATCCTGAAATACAATGCCCATGGTGTTGTGAGAATTCTAGAATGAGAGGTGTGGAGGTTGAGTAAGAGTTTGAGTTTATATAGAGGTGGGATAATGGAGTTTGGAAGAGGGAAAATTGGAAGTTTGAAGGTTTTGAAAAGGTTTTGGAAAGAGAGAGAAGTAAATGTGAGTGGGTGGAAGTTGGAAAGTAAAATGAGCGGGTGGAAGTTAGAAGATTAGAGGTCAAAGTGCATATGGGGAATATTTTAAGAAATTAGGCGCATTCAAAGTTCATGATGGACGCCAAGAAACCATGGTGAATGCCATCAGTTATAAAAGGGCGCCTTTAAATGTTTAAAGCTCATGAAGAATGCCATACCCACATGGTGAATGTCAATGATCTTAATGTTACGCTTCAAGTTTACTTTTAGGAGTTATCCTTGTGTTTTGGTCATACTTAAGGCATTATGAAGCATAATTTTGAAATTTTTACTAGAGAAATAGGCTTAAAAATAAAAAATGATTAAACTGAATTAAGATTAAAAATAAAGCAAGAAAGAGATTAAATTAAAAGAAACATGATAAAAATATGTGGGTTGCCTCCCACACAATGTTTTATTTATTCTCAATAGCTCGACAATTGAAATTTGAAACATAATTGAAAAAACAACAATAATGATAATTGAAAAGCTGGAAAATAGTTCCTCCCCACACTTAAACTAAACATTGGCCTCAATTTTTTCTTGAAAGTGGTAACAAAGAAAGGAAAAACCTTTGGAAGAATCACATGCCATGGTGTTTGGCTGTCAGACCCAATGCTCTGCGTAAGGAATATATTTTTTGGTACAGGTGGTCCATCTGCTCTGCCGTTCTATCTGTTTGATTTTGTATTTCTTGGTGGAGAGCGGTGACCTCACGTTTGAGGGTGTTAAGCTCATAGTCAACATTATTTCCCTGTGGACTGGGAAGACATGTAGAAGAAGATGAAGAAGAGACATCTGACAGAGGAGGTGGGTATTACTTAGGTGCATCAGGGGTTTGAGGTGGTGTAAGTGTCTTTCCCTGGCCTTCCAATTGGTAAATCCAGTTATCACAGTTGTGGACACTTGTTTGTTCATGGTTTCGAAGGACAAAGTAATGGACAACTTCATTATTAATCAATCTATGGAATTCATTCGGCCTTCTAACTCTCACCAATTGTCTATTTAAGCAGTGTTCGATATCTTTTAGGGTTCGATATCTTTTAGGGTGTTACCCCTAAAGGGACTAGGCGTGCTATTTGGTTACAGAGACCTACAGATAAGGCTATGAAAGTGACAATCCCGTCTACAAAAATATTGCCTCTTTTTGACTTTGCTATTGTGTCCAAATTGTCAAGCAAGAATGTTGCAAAATGGATGGGGAGGGATTGAAAAACACTGAACATGATAAATAACGATTCTTTACTAACGATGTTAGTGTTATCATTCTTTCCGAAAAGGGTTTGTGTTAAAACCATCTGAAAGTAGCTAATAGCTAGGTTATGGATAAGGGTAGCATTCATCCTTTCAGGATCAGGTGGGCTTCCATGGTGATGTTACCCCAACAATTATCAAGTTCATATTGTATGAAGTTGTGATTGGGTACCTCAGTGAAGGCATCTCGGCCAGTCTGAAATCCTAGTAACTCGCCTAATCATTATGATTAAAGCGATAGTTATGCCCAAACAGCTAAAAAACAGTTATACTCATAACTTTATCTGTTATTCAATCAAGATAGTAATTAAAGGAGCTAAAAAACTCAAGTGTGAGATTCTTATAGGTGGGGTGTTGTGCAACTAAGAACTGGTCCCAGTCAATCTGATTGAACAAACACCTAAGGATGTCTCTTAGGCCTAATGTTGCGAAGCATTGGAGTTACGATACATGGTCAGAGAAATAAGTCTTTGTGACAAGTCTTCATAGCGCCTCCTTTGGGTGCCATTCTTGAATACGGTCCTTTGATTGTTAAAGTGATGTATTCTGAAATAATTTTTAGTAGAAAAATGCTATGGAGAATGAAGTTAACCTGAAAATGAAACATAAACAATGTTAGTGATGTTCAACAAGGTTTAATTTCGACGCCTATTTTATTGGGGAAAGAAAATTGAAAAACAATATGTGGATTGGCTCCCACACAACGCTTTGTTTTACGTCGTTAGCTCGACGTTTTTTAAATTCATTCTTCAGGTGGACTAGCAGGTGGCTAATCTAGTTTCAAACTAGCATACTAATCTATTAACTCTTCACTATGGTAGTGCTTAAGCCTTTGCCTGTTCACTATGAACGGTCGACCATCGGGAATACAACTTCCATGGGAAGAGTCCCAATCTGGAGTTGAAAAAAAGCATTAGCTCTCTCGTTTATAATTTTCTCCTAGTGATTCACTTGTCATTCCATTTCTTGGTTAGTTCTTTATAGATTTGGACATTCTCATAAGCATCTAGTCTTAACTCATCTAACTCATGCAGATTTAAAATTCATTTTCCGCTAGCAGTCATGTAATCCATATTCAGGGTCTTGACAGTCCTATAGACTTTGTGTTCAACCTCAACTGAAAGATGACAGAATTTTTCATACACAAGTTCGAAAGGTGTAGTTCCTATAGATTTGCAGGTTGTCCTAGAGGTCCATAGTGCTTCTAGAAGCTTAGCAGACTAGTCTTTCCTAGAGGTAGCAACCATTTTCTCTAATATTTGTTTAATCACACTGTCTTGGAGATTTCTACTTGACCACTAACGTGTGGATAGTAAGAAATAGCTATTCGGTGTCATTCTCCATATTTTTATTTTAAAAAATTAAATATTTTAAATATGTGTGAGATTCTCCGTCACTTATGACTCGTCCAGGAACACTGAAACTCGAAAATATATTGCTTTTAAAATTTAGGTATATTTCCTTAAATCCTTATTGTATGATTCTTAACTCAGCTACTCATGATTTTCTAAGAATTTGTTATAACTACAACAAAATATTTAAGTTAAAACCGCATTAGGATACAGTGTCGCATGTTGAAAACGTTCTTGTTCAATATAGGCGATATCTTCCATGAACAGTCAACTATCCTAGATCACAACAACCAGGAGAAAACAATACACTGTAGGTTAAATCACCAATAAACAAAAAAACATAATCAATTGAACTATCAAAAGTCAAATTATGTCCTCATCTTCTCCATCATTCCCCATCACTTATCCTTAAACGTGCTTCACTTTAAGAAGCTAAGAAGTATAACATGTTCTGGATTTATTGTATAATTAATCTTGTTTCAATAATGAATGGGTTTTCATATAGGTCTAAACTTCAACAAATGGGCCCAAAAAAAACAACATGTAATTTTGTGGCACAAAAAGACAAATTGAATATCCTAATATTTCAGGCACAAAGTATCATTGCACCGAAATTAATAATTAATTGATCAAAGAAAAAAAAACAACATTGTTTCACTTTCACCAATGACACATGTGATGGTGGAACTCTGCATTTTCCACTCTCCAATGTAAAATTCCATTTCAACCCTCTTAGGTCATTTACACTTTTTCTCTCTTTTATCTATCCAAAAAGAAAATCACACTTTCACTGCTCATGTCTCCATCTTTCTTTCCCACTTCTCTGACCACATTTTCACTTTCTCTCAAGTAACTATGATTCTCCATATTATTAATAAAAAGTTTTAACTTTATCAAATCAACACCAATTATTATTTATACTTGAACAAAATTTTCTCCATTATCTTGACCAACTAACAATGTCCTAAAACACCAATAAACCTAATAAAATACATATGAAATCAATGAATTGAATTGAATGATGCTACCAAAACAATTTCCACTTATGGTTTATTATGTACTATACACTACACATAGATATGAAAAAAAACAAAAAAAGAATAGGAACAGTACATTAAAATTAAATTACATTACATAACCGAAAAGATATGATTCTTCCTTCACTTTATTGAAAAGAAGAGCTTTACAATTTACACTACCAAGGTAAACTAAAAAAAGAAGCATTCAACAAAAGAAAGAGCTTTTTCTTCATGCTACATGCCCATAACTCTCTACTTTGACTATTTCTCTCCACTATGTAGTGCAAAATCTAAATCTTAATATTCTAAAGAAAATGCTAAAGTCTAACATTTTTCTTTATCTTCAACCTGATACACATTTGTCACTAGATTTCCTTGACAATTCTTGTGATAGTTGAGAAGATGATTCACACTCTATTTCAACAAAACAAAACAAAAAGAAGAAGCTATTTTTAATTCATTACTACAAAAATTTATTTAAAATCAATAATTACAAGTTTTAAATATTAAAAAAAAAGAAAAAAAATCTGATTTATTTACCTCTGGAGGCATTGAAGGATCTTTTGCAGTGTAAAATGGCTCCTTGAATCCCATCTTGTTGCTGTAACAGTGAATCATCACGGCGTTTAGACGACACTAACGCCGGCGGTGAAGCTGCCACCGCCGACGACGCTGAACGGCTTTTTCCTAAATGTTTGTATACAACTCTAAGCCCTGCCGGAATATTCCCCTGTTTCAGGCTCTGATTCTGAGTACTCTTTGCATTGTTTTCTTCACTTTCAGCAACGGTTTCCGCTTCCGTTGGTACTTCACCTTCAACCTTGTTGTCAGTAGAAGCAGAACCAAACTTTCCTTCTTTTTCACCATGACTATACCTACGAGAAACTCTAATGTAAAGAGGCTTCACCATTTTCAAATACTTATGCATAACAACTTCCTTGGAGAAACGTTTCTCTTCCAAAGGTGATAATGCTTCATATTCCACTTTCTGATTCTGGTTCTGGTTCATTTGAGATTTGTTGTTGTTGTTGTTGATGTTTCCTTTGGAACTGTTGTCTCTAGTGAAAAGTGAAACAATAGGAACTTCTTCAATTTTGAATTTGATTCTATTTGGTTTTTGCTTCTTCTGTGTTGTGACAGAATCGTTTTTGGGTTTCTTAAGTCCAGACATGAAGACGCGAAACTTTGTTGCAGATTTAAGCAATGAAGCAGTGAACTGAGGTTTGGAGTTAGGTTCGGAAGGGTTGTTGAGAAGAAAAGAAGAAGGTTTCAACTCAACTATCTGTATATCCTCCGAAGGAGACAGAGAAAGATTTGCATCATTTCGTTCGTTACTTGAAGGGGAAAGTGTTATCTTAAACTCACCACCACCATCATCGGATTCTTCTTCATGTGGTTCGTTGTTAGGGTTTGTTTGTTGAGAAAGATGATCTTCTTCGTCTGGTGCAGTAAACTCTAAGTCGAAAAAAGGACCTTCGTCATCGTTGTTGTCGTCATCTTCGCTTTCACTGGTTGCGTTGTTATCGTTATGAGATACGGCGGAGAGGATGGTGGTGGTGGTGGTGGTTTCAGAGGAAGGTGAAAGTCCAAGGAGACCAGCACCTCGCCAGTATTTGAGTAAGGTAAAAGCTTCCATAGTTGGGAGAGCCAGTATAGTAAAATGAGTAAGAGAAGAAAAGGGATAAAATAAAATAAAATAAAAAGTGAATGAAATAGTGAAAGAGAAAGGGAAAATAGAGTAGTAAATAGAATTGAATAATGGAAGAGTATGGTGTGTTTTGTCTGTTAGTATGGTTGCAGGATAGTCATGTGAAAGAGGTCAGATAAATACGGAGAGAGTAAATATTGCAGAGAAGCAGAGGAGAGTAGAGAGACTAGTGTCAGTGTGTAGTGTAGCTTTCATTATTGTGAAAATTCAATGGCTCTAAACAAAACGCTATTTTTTCCGTGAGAGGAATCTGACATCTGTTTTCTGCACTCCAACAAAAGAAAATAAATCCTACTTTTTATTAATCACCTAATGGACACGTTACTTTCTGCATTTCTTTACTTGTACCCTATTTTTATATTGTCATTGAAATATAAAAATTGGCAAGTTTAAATGTTGCTTATAACGGTCACCGTAGTGGATTTCAATTCATACTTCTTAGAGTTGTGGAATATAATAAGGTGAATGTTTGCCTATGGACGTAAAAATTTCTATATATTTATTCAATTTGTAAACACGAAGGATCCTTCAATTCTAAAGGGCGTGGTATTTATAGATGTTTTTTTTAGTCATAAGTGAAGAGAGACGATTTTTTCTCTAATTTTCAAACAAGTACGTAGGAGTAGTGAGAGGTAGGGCTGGAAATGAGTCGAGTCGAGTCGAACTCACCTCAGCTCGGCTCGACTCGTTAAGAATTGTTCGAATTCGAGTTCGAGTTCGAGTTTGACACGAACTTTTTTTTAAGCTCAAACTCGACTCATTATAAGTTCACGAACAATTCGGTTCGACTCGTTAGGTTCATCTCATTAGGTTCAGCTCACATGGTTCACGAACTTAAAAACTATTTTTTTAAATATATATATTTTTTAGTATATTTGACATTTTAAATAAATAAATATATTTTAAATAAAATATTAAAATAAAATAAAAGTTATCATATTGAAATTAAACTTTATCTTCGAAATCTACTAATTCAAAACCTACACAACTTTCAAGAGATACATTTGAGAGTCTAATTCAAAAACTACTAAATTGAAGATTAAATTTGTCTAAGATTTGAAGTAAATATTTAAACCTAATCTTAAAGACAGTATAATTCTTTTCATATGTAATCGAGTTGACTCATGAACCTAACGAGTCGAACTATGTATAGTTCAAGTTCAGCTCATTTAGTTAACGAACTTAATTTTTCGCTCATACTCAACTCATTTGGTTCATGAACCTAGTTCAACGATTTAATTGTCGAGTCGAATTCCGAACTATCTTCGAGTTGGTTTGGTTCATTGTCAGCCCTAATGAGAGGACAAATTCTTCCTTCTAATTTGGAAAGAGATTTTTCTCCTTATTAAGAGGAACAATACTAGTTTCTAATGGACATCTAAGTTTTATATCGACATGATAGATTAAACGATAGACATGGATCTAGGTCAAATAACCCAAACCACAATCAGGTGACCTGAGGTCTCGCTCGATTATTTTAACAACCGTTTCACAAATTCTTTGTGTTGTTTAGACTGTGAGTTGTTCCTTTCCAAATCTAATGTAGGTATCACACTCCTGAATACTTCAAGCATGCGGCATGGAATGGGTGAAATTATTAAATTGGACCTGCGAAGATTTCTCTAAAGCATATGATGACGAGACCCTTAAGCCCTACTCGGAGAGAGTCCCTCAAACGTTGCTCGGGGCAATTCTCATAAGCATTGTTTAGGAAGGATTCCTCGAGCATTACTTGAGATGAGTCTCATAAGGGTTCCTTGGGGAGAGCACCTTAAGTGCTTTCTTTGAGAAAGACGTGTAATATTTAATGCTTATGATGACTTTTATCTTGAAAATGTACAAACATTATTGATCTGACCTTATCAAAAGGGGATCGCTGACTGTCACGCGTCTTCGACTTGCTGCCTGTTCATCGGTGTTGAAGAAGAGGAGGGGGTGTACCTGCAAGACACTCCGATGCTAAAGTAAGTGTATGGGCAGAGTGATCACAAATACAGAAAAAGGGCAAGAATCGAATTACCTGACCCTCTTATGAAATAGGATATTTATAGAGAAACCCCAGCGCTGGGCCAACGATCACTTGTGTTGGGCTGGATTTCTAGGCCCAACCCAAGTGACTGCTAGGGCTTACGTGGCGTAGTGAAGATCAGGACATGGTCTTCGCCCTAGTTCAACTACCCCGAGATCTCCTGAAAGTGGGTTTGACCTGCTCTTTCGGAGGCGGACAGTTGGTCGGTGACGTGTCCCTGCGGAGGGGGGCACGTAGAGAACGTGTGAAGGACACATTGTCCTGCCCGACAGGGGAGCAGGTTCTGCCCGCGGTGGGGCAGGTTCTACCTGCGGAGGGGCAGGTTCTGCCCGCGGAGGGGGCAGTGTCTGGTCGACCGGGAAGTCTTGTGCTCGACACAGATGAAGAAAGTTCTGCCCGCGGAGGGACATTACCAGCCCGTTGAGGACTCTGTGCCCGACGGATGTGGCCCAAGCTGGATTGAACTTGGCAAAATATTATTGGGTTGGATATGTCCGGTCAGGCCGGGGCCCAGGTCAGAACAATTATGAACTAGGTATTATTTATATATGGTCTTACTTTCTAATTGCCACATACATATGTTATGGCAAGGATGGCCTACTTGAAGCAAATTTTTCCTCCATGTTTTATATATTCTTCTGAAGCAATTTGTTTTCCACACTATCTCTTTGTTTTCTATATCCTCCTAAAGCAAATTTCTTATTGGTTCTCCAATTTCAACTTCACCTTTCATCTTTTGCAAACCGAAAAACTCTGATGATACTTTAATTTTTGAGAATCGCGAAAAATTCTAGAAATATATTACCGAAATTTTCTACGACTCTCATCAACGTCAATGTCGCTAATACATTCTCTCAAATAAGCAAAAATAATATATTGACCAATAAAACTACTACCAAACACGTTTCTCTTAATGTGTAAATTATCAAACATGTATAATCTATGTATTTCATAACTTAAACATTAAGTTATACAAATTTATAAAAAAATAAAAAATATTTAGAAAAATAAAAAACTTACAAATTATGAATTTACTTCAGTGTTGAATGAACTATTTAATGAATTTGATGTTGATGGAAGAAGTTTTAAAGTTGGTTGGATGATTTTGTGATAATGTAAATTGATAATTTGATGGAAAAAAGTGTTTTTTAGAAGTGAGAAAGGAAAAATAATTTTAAATTTTTTTTTATTAAATGTCTAAAGATATATCTTTGCGAAATATTTTTTCATATTAACTTAAAATCTGGTTCAAAATTTTTGACTTTAGTTACATTCGAAGGTAACTCTCTAAATTTTAAAAATAGTATTGTATTTTCACAACACATGCTAGTAAAATATAAAGTGCATTAAAAAATATCATAAATGTCCTTGTGAACCAACTCTCATATGTTTTGCGACCGAGTGGATAAATGGTTGAAAATTGAAACTATCCTAAAAGTTCCCCATTCTATTTTTACTTTTACAAAAGAGAAGTGCTTGAAAAAGCTTTTTCTTCTGTTTCTCTTGAACTTTTGACTTTTCAATGGAAAGAAAATTACAAGTCTTTGGAAGTGCGTCAATTGGACTAATTTATTTTAATTTTAAAAAAATTATTCTTATAAAAACATTTTTTTAATATTAAAAAAAATTAACTCATTTTTTATAAATTCAAAAACTAATTTTGACATTCTATAACTTAAATATTAAAACATAGAATGTGTTTATGTCAAGATTTAAAAAATATGATTATAGGAATGCAATATTTCAAGTTTTATAAAATAATTTCAAAGTATTTTTTATTTTAAGAAATCTTATTTACACACTTTTTTTATTTATTTCAAGACTTATAGAGTGGAAATATAAGATTTTTATGAGAAAAAATTTAACCAATTATAACTTCTCACTACCACTCTAATTTACATTTTTTTAATTATTTTTATAAATTTAAATTAAATATATTTCATAATTATTCTTAAGAATCTAAACTTTTATCATGGAATAATATTCATGGAAATATTAGTTATTGGAATAATATTCATGAAAATATTAGTTATAGAAATATAATTTTAACCTTGAAACAAACACACCTATAATAAAAATCACTTTAAAAAAAAAGATATATCTCAAAAATGAATTTTATAAAAAATTATTAAAAATTTAGTAGCTGAACAATTATAACAAAAAAAATTAAATATCTAAAATAACATTTTCAAAATAACTATTTAAATTAAGTTTTCATTTAAATTTTTTTAAATAAATATTAATAAAGAAATTTTAAAACAATATATATAACATTATAAAAAAAAACATTTAAAAAATGAAAACTGAAATAAATGAGAATAACTAACTGATAGTCTTCTACACTCAATTTAATGAAAAAAATATCAGGAAATGGTGAAGGATTGGGATAATAGTAATCTGTATGTGGTCCAAAATGTGAAAATCTTTTTAAGTATTTTGTAATATTAGATGCTTAATTATTGGGCTTTAGTTTAGTTTTGGGCCTAGCTCTTAGTATTGCAGCCCATGTGTATATAACTCTGGTTCTGTTTGTTTTGTAAGCTAAGCAATGCCTGATATTTATTTACATTTTCATATTTCGCTTTTCCGCTACAATTCTTGAGTCGTATTATGTAAAAACTCTCATTTCTTTTTAATAAGCAAAATTTGTAGAAACTATCTATTATAGTTACGTCATTTACTAAAGAATGATGGTATTTCTTAGGAACATATAATCTTATGAAAAAAATTATACAATGAAATAGAAAATAGATAAATATCTCACTAATGTTTTCATCAGTAGAGAACAAAAGAGAATTGGATTATTTCCATCAGAACTTTAATATTGAATTGCTAACTTGCCCTATAATATTGAATTGCAGACCTGTTTATTATATTTTGTACATACTAGGAACTGCTCTTTCTTGTTTAAGAGGCTTGGTGGATAGTAGTTATAATACAACACAAGTTACACTATTAACTATGACATTGTTTATTGTTCATAGCCTACGGGAAAAAATCCCAAACGTGAGCAATATTTGTGCTCAAGTATGAAGCCAAGAAAATACTACTTGAAACTATACAAACTTATAATTATATTCTCTTACGAAATATAAACAAAAATAGTCAAAGTTAAACTATTTGATTCAAATTTGGATCAAATACATAAACTTTCTTTAACTTATTTTTGCTTATATTTCGTTAAGAGTATATATCACCGGCAAACTACACTATATATATTTGTCCTATGAAAGTCTCTTTGGTGGAAAAGGTCTATAATGAGACACTCCCAAAGTTCAACCAGAAGATGCAACTACTATTTTTTTTAAAAGCTGCTATCCGTAATTTTCATAGGAAATAAGATAATTGCTCTTTCTTCCTTGAACCACCTTCCCCATAAAGGTCATTCCACTGCTTCAAGTCATTCATACTAGCCCCTTCAGCTGCAAAGCTTGCGGCAACCTGCATTCCAATTAGGCATTCAAACTAAGCTTAGTTGCAAAAGAAACCTAAGACATCAACATCCCCAACAAGTAAGTTGTGATTTTATCTTGTCATTTGCTTGTTGAGATCTTAAGTTTAACTAACTGCTATTGTGTTTCCAGTTTCACCATTGAAGCAATGAGAAAAGTTGCACCATTAGAGAAAAAACTGAAATCTTAAAAGTGACATGGCATAATAAGATCTGCCTAATGGGCAGATAAGAACCCAAAGTGAATTGCATCATAAAAGATGATCAATGCGGGAGAATTAAAGATAAAGAATCCTAAGAAATTTTACCTGACTCTTTGCCACTTTGAAGTCCTGCATATTCAAAGGCCTAAGGGTAATAACTCTTTCCTGTTTAACTTCCTCCTCTGCATCATGACCATCTTGGATATTTTGTCCTTCGGCGTCTTTCTTCTTTTTTTCCTGCCGAAAACAAATATAGCAGTCAGCATGATCATCATATAATCAAAGCATTATAGTAAATCTTTAAAAAAATTGCCAAGTTACCAAATCCTTTTTCATCTCTTGTTGAATTAACTCTCTAACAGGTCTATAAGCAGCGGTTGTACATAAGTTCTGCATTTACCAAATTGCATTAATCAGAAACTCAAAATAACAAAAGGATCTGTAGGTTGTAACACGATAGTCAAGTTACGTCCACAGGAAAACAATAATAGAGAAAACCTTTAGATCGCTTCCGCTGTATCCTTCTGTCATAGTTGCAAGTTCCTTAAAATCAAGGCCATGGTCCACTTTCTCTTTAGCCAAAAGGGTCCTCAATATATTTTCCCTGTTCTCCACAGACGGTAGCCCAACCATAATCCTGATAGCCAAAGATGAATAATGTATTAAATAAAAACAATCAAAATACTATCAAATATAAGGGTATTCAGATTGTTGTTGTGCACCCACAAACATGACATCAAAGCAATATACTTTTAATTTGATCTCTTATGTGTTTTTTCCCGACAATTTACTTATACAAAAAAAATTTTAAAAAAAAAAAAAACAGGTCCACGTGATTCAGTGAAATCCACATGAATTCAAACTAATAGCAGAGAATGATTGGAATAGCGTCTTAGAGAGCATATTGCTAGCACTCTTCAGGTAATAAGAAAGAGCATGTGAAATTCATTGAACAAGTAGAGCTAGTAGAGGTACCTCCTTTCAAATCGTCTAATAATTGCTTCATCCAAGTCAAAGGGCCTATTGGTTGCAGCAAGGACAAGGATGCGATCCGATGGTTTTGAGGTAAGTCCATCCCAATTGGCCATAAATTCATTCTTTATTTTCCGCATGGCTTCATGTTCCCCGACTCTTGTCCGCTGCCCAAGCATACTATCCACCTCATCAACAAATATGATAGTTGGAGAGACCTTGGCTGCCAGTGTGAATAAAGCACGGACATTCTTCTCGTCTTCACCGAACCATTTAGAAGTGATGGTAGACATGGATACATTAATGAAACTTGCTCCAGCCTCATTTGCAATTGCCTTTGCCAGCATTGTTTTTCCTGTTCCAGGCGGCCCAAATAGCAATATTCCTCTACAAGGCTTTAAAAGGCCTCCATCAAAAAGGTCTGGCCTTCGAAGGGGAAGCATTACTAGTTCTTGAAGTGACTCTTTAGTCTCCTCTAAGGAACCAATATCGGAGAATGTTACCCCAATTTCGTTTGCTGGTATTACTTCAGGCCTTATTCGCTTCTCAAACTCATTATCGGGAGGAACTTCCTGCAAGAGACGAGGTTGTTGTGTTTGAATAAGACAATTGCGGCATGATTTCAATATTATTAAAGTTATATCCTAATCTATCGAACAATTAAAAAACAGAGAAGGCTTACAGCTTTGGTTGCAGGAACTGAATTTTCACCATCAGTTTTGCCCACCGAAGTTAGTATTTCTGTTTCAGCTTTTATAGCAGGAGCAGGATTTTCAGTTTTTATACCAGGACCAGGATTATCAGACTTTTCTTCGGGTTTCGTAACAGCTCCTTCCTCTCTCTGCTTTATTCAGTACGATACATATAGAGATAAAAAAAACACAGATCATATCAGTACCTGGTAGATATTAGTCGCAACTAAATAAACAACACAATCGCGACAAGAATGCACAACCTCGGATGTTACTGCTTGAGCTTCTAGTTTTAATGTATCTCTTCCACTGAGTTTTCCCTCATGGAATATACCCAGAGCATGGGACAAGCTGTTTCAGAAATAATAAAGTCAGTACATCAAAGTAAAAATAATTCATGCAGTTAAAGTTACCAGTCACACCTATTGCATGGAATAACCAGTTTCCCATTTCTGTATTCAGGCTCTTTGTTATTCATTAAATGATAAGAAATTGCTGACACGACAATCTCTTCTATATAGTTACTGAGAACCATTGTGTCTGCCACACAGATGGAACCCAGGTCATGACAATCGAGATCATTGGCTGCAAGCACTTCCATGATATGATTCTTGTTATCCTGAATCTGTATCTTCTTCATATCCTCTTCAAATTGAGACTTCCAGCTGACAAGACGAGACTCATCTTCTGGTGGGCTGATTTCTATGTTGTAAGGGAAGAGGGGGCTAAGCATCTCATCCACTTCATTGCATTCATTACCAGAATCCAAAACCCTTGAACCAAGAATCAAAATCGGCCCAGATAATTTCGTTAACATTGTCTGGAATAGTTTACATATCCTCTGTGATCTACACAACAGCTTATCAACATCCCGCACATATAGAACAATGGGATAGGTTTTTGACACATAAACTAGAGCCTGCAAGTGAATTTTCCACTCATCAAATCAATATCTTCTGTGGATACGTAAAACCTTCCAATCCAAAATACGTTTATGCACTGATGCTAAACATGTCATATCATCAAAAGTAGCAATACCTTGTAAAGAGTCTGTATAAGAAGCTTTTCATCAAAAGACCAATTGACCAGGTGCTTCCCAGGTGCTGCAGGAATATTGAAAGATACAGGGAATCAGAAGAGCAAACAGTGTACAGAAACAAGGAGTTTGACTTAATTTGTATTGGTTCTCATTTAAAAAGATTATAAATCTAACATGTGCTAAACTAATTTTATAAACTATCAAATTGTGATGCCACATTAGAATCCTCATTGTTTATTAAAAAAATGGGGAGGGGAGAAATTATTATTAAATCAAGTGGTACTAATGACAATTTTACAATCGTCCCCGAGCTGATTTGAACTTTGTTTCTTGAGATTGCATCTATAATGTCTAACTCTTATGGCCAAGTTAACACCTCAGCAGATGGTAACACAACAAGTAAATCAAGAAAAAACAATTTAAAATGATTTATTGAAGCAACCTGAGCTTGTAGAATTGCTTTGCGAACCAATGCTGCTGATATTTGCAGAGGCTGATGCATTCCTACGAAGCTTAGTAGGAGCATAAGATCCTTCCGCCTCCCTGCATAAACAAGGATTTTTTTTTGCATATTATTATATAAATATACTGGAAGGAAAATAAATATATTTTCATAGTTAACTGATAAAGATCTAGTGTTCTTACATTCGTTTAAGGTCACCGCTACTGCTTTGCTTTTGCATTCTACCTGCAACTAAAAGTTTCAAGTCAGGGGTATATTTTATACTCGTATCAAATAGAGTGCTTACGTATCAATACAGAGTGAGGCAGTCAGCATATTATTAGAATTTGATAAATGTCAAGAACCAAAGCTAAAGCTACTTGTACCCGTCAACCCTATCTAGAATCTAGAACCGATCTTAGGCGGCATGACTTCGTCAAGTAGAAATTATCATTAGTAAAACTTTTCTCCTAACAATATACAATACTTATTCATGAAACTCAAACAAGATAGAATATTGGTGTATTACAAGATTAATTGAGCATATTTTTATTATGAAGTAATAAAGTTCTGAAAATGCTCATCGACTTGTACCTTTATTCTCTTCTTTTGGTGGAAACATTGAAAATGTACCAAATAGGTCAGATAACCGAGCCAAAGTTGTGTCTGAAGTAGATCTTTGGAAAGACTACAACCAGAAACAATGAAAATAGAACACCAGTAGCCAGAATGTTAGGTCAAGAAAGAACACAGTGTAAATATATGATGTTTAGAATGAAAAGCAATACAAGATAAAATAGGAAAAGCTTACCGTTTCCTTGTTGGAAGAGCCATATCTACTTTGAATCTACAAAGATGACAAACCAACCATTATGTACATAACAAACCAGAGAAAGTTTTAAACGACACCAAGACTTTTCCCACTCACCTTCAAAGAAAAGTCAGTTACATCGAACAGAAGCAACTTGGCCTCAAAGTAGTGAGCTAAAGCCTTCGCAAGCACCTGTTGGTAAAGTTCTGCAAAATATGAAATAGAGAACTTTTGAATTAGCCAAAGGAATCATTAGAAACGTAAAAGCTTATCAATCCGTCAACGTAAAATAGTCGGTTGATCAGACTAACCGGCTGGCCCTGAGAGCAGAATAGTCCGGCTTGCAGGAGCGAGATTCCGTGTATGTCTAGAAACCTCTGCATGCTTTAAGTGGACATAGGCAGCACTTGTCAGCAACACCCGTGTCTTCTCACTGTCATCATATATACAATGAAAAAAGATCATATATTAGAACCAAAATTAAATTGAATCTTTTTTTTTTTAAAAGTAGCAGCATCATAAAAAGTCAAAGCATCCAGTGAATTTACAGTTTCAATGCTCCCAATCCATTAACAGAATATGCTGTGTTAGTCTGGAAACAACAAATTTCTGAAACTGAAAATTTTGCAAAACTGGACATATACTTAAGATTTAAGAACACATAACCACTGAATTTTCATTTATATGAATACTAATACATAACATTACCATACCAACCGTGCAATGAATAAAAAAAACATGAAATATAAAAAACAGTCTGCGACCACAAAAATGGATGCTACAAAACGGTATTGCCGATACTGTTATTCACCACTTTTATATCATAGAACAAATTGTGTTTAATTCAGCGACGATTGCAGTCAGTGACTATAATCGCTAAAGCCTTTACGCAGACAGTTATTTAAAACCTATGACTATTATTACAAATTTTCAAGAAATTAAACAAATACAATGCCGCTAATTACCAAAAAAAACAAATACAATGCGCTATAATACAATTTAATAAAGTAATTAAAGTAAATTAAATACAATACATGTGACATTGGAAATTAGAAAAATGAAAGGAGAAAAAGTAAAAAACCTGAGATAATAAGGGAAATTGTCAAAAGTGACATTGCTTTCTCTGCCATCAATAACAAGTCGAAGCATTTCGTGTTCCATTTTCTCGGGTGTGATGGCGTTTGAGGCGAGGGCATTAGCTCCCCATTTGGTTTGTCCAGAAGCCAAACCAAGACCGACTCCAACTCCAACACCAACGCTGAGCGCTGATAACAACAAACCTTTCTGTTCCATTTTTCGGTTACAGTTTTTTTTCTTTCAGAAAAATAACCGTAAAACTGTATTTATGTCAAAAAAGAATAATGAAGACTTAGAGAGAGAAGAAGGAAGAAGGATCCATATCCTTTGTTATCATGATGGTAATGGTTTGTGTGCAGTGGGAATTGAAATATCTGGGAATGATGGCGAGTAAGGGAATGGTAATGTCATGAGGAGTTCCCGCATTTTCAGGTGCGGCCTTTCTTGTTAGAGGACGGAGACTAGTGCTGACTCATACAATAATCCTTACGTGTCACTCTTTTGACGGTTTGTTTTTTGGTTTGGCAGTTTTCTCATATGCGAAGGGGAGGATATTTCTATTTGCCATTTATTTCAACTTCAATTCAACGTCTACTTTTTTTTCTATATTTTTTCTTGCAACTCCCTAATTTTTTATTTTTTAACGCATAACTAATAAATATATTTATATATGTATTTAAATTTAAAATTAGTTATTAATTTTAAAATGAATAATAATTTGTAAACAAAAAAAAGGGACTTGTGAGATAAAAAAATAAAAATTTAATATTTAAAAATAATTTTTTTATTTTTTAAGTTAAGATAATTATTGATTAAAATAGAATATGTATTGTGTTTATAGTATTAATGAGTGATCCGTGAAATAAAAAGTTTATTTAGTATAATATAAAATATATTTATTAACCGATGTAAAATTGAAATTAGTTATTTAATTATAAAATTAAAAAAATTATATAATTTCAATTATTGTAAATAATATGCTTAATATTTTTCTTCATCTTCATCCTTTATCTTTTGCGTAGAGTTTATTTTGGTCCTTTAATTTTAAAAAGGATCATTTTGATCCCTTAGCTTTTCAATTTGGTTCACGTTTATCCTTTCCGTCCAAAATGTTAGTCCAACTCAATTGAAATGCAATGCTGACACACACGTGCATTATTTTTTATGACATGGCAATGCTGGCTTACACGTGTATTATTTGTTAATGACATAATGTATTGTAATATATAAAAGGGATTCATTCATATTTTTCACCCTAATGTCACACTTGTCTGAAACTCACTCTTTAGAACGAGGAAGAGGATTTTGACAAACGAAGCGAAGAACACTTTCAAGAACGAAAATAAAGGATTTCTTTCCAAAATACTGGTAATGTTATCTTACTTGTTTTTAATCTTCACCCATTTTTATTTTAGAGTTCATTCTATTTTAGGGTTTGTACGTGTTTGCATTTTAGGGTTTGTCATGGGTTTAGGGTTTTGTGTACCTGATTATAAATGTTGTACTTTTTAGGTTTGTTATGAATGAATATCTTCATGTAGTTATACATCATGGGGTTATTTTAAAGGTGATTATGAGTCAAGTTATGGGGGTTCAGTTGCTGATGTGAAGTGTGATGTTGACAAGTGGAACTATTTTGAGGTGTTATGGATTGTTAAAGAGCTGAGATATGAGGATGCTGGAACAATAACATACAAGGACCCAAATTTTGGTTTGTTTACTTTGACTGATGATAAAGGTGCCTTAGAGATAGTTGATTTATGTAAGGTATATAAGGTTGTTCATTTGTATTTGAAACATTCAGTTTCTCAACATGATTATTATGAAGGACCTATTGAGGATGAGACTGAAAACATAGTTAAAGAGGTAGTTAATGTTGATGAAGCTGAAGATGTCATTGGAAAACTGGTTGAAGAAGTTATGAATGGTAAAAGAGATTGTGTAAGTGACTTGAATAAGGCTAATGTTATGAGGGAGGGTGAGGAAGGGGATAATAATGTTGATGTTAATGGTGTTGAGGTTACGAGTAAGAATGAGGTTGAAGATAATAATGTTGAGGTTAATGGGGCTGAAGATATGAGCGAGGGTGAGGTAGGAGATAATAATGTTGATCTTGATGTGGTTGAGGATATGAGTGAGGGTGAGGTATGAGGTAATAATGTTGATCTTGATGTGGATGATTATATGAGTGATAGTGATGATGGGAGCTTCCAATATGACAATGCCTTAGATGTTGTCTTTCAAGAGTCAGATGAAGACAGTGATGGTGTAGTGGAAGAGGATATTACAAATCTGTTGGGTTATGACAAAGAGGCAGTAAGTAAAGGTAAAGGCGAGGAAGGTGAATGTGCTAGCAAAAAAGGTAGCGAGGGAGGTGAAGATGAGGGTGTATGTGATGGTGAGGAATTGGAGAGTGGGTGAGAAACGGATGATGAAAGTAACTTTCATAAGAAGAAGTATCATGTTTTCAAAATGGCCAAGAACATGTTAGACTACAAATGGGAATTAGGAGCCTATTTTGCAACAAAGAATGATTTTAAAGAGGCAATTACTTCATATGTTGTTCAGTCAGGAATGGATTTGAGGTTCTCTAAAAATGATAAATTAAGGGTCAAAGTGATATGTAAAGAAGGGTGTGAATGGAATGCATATTGTGGCAAGTTACCAAATGAAGATTCTTGGCAATTGAGGAAATTGGTGGATAAGCATAACTGTAGTAGATCATATAATATGGAGCTCATGACTTCAAAGTGGTTAGGTAAAAGAATTCAAAACTCTTTGAAAGATAATCCAAATTTGAAAATTAGGGACATCAAGATAAAAGCCCAAAGGAAATGGAATGTTGGTGTAAACAAGACTAAGGCTGTTAGGGTTAGGTGTGCAGCAAGACGTTTGGTTAATGAGTCATTTCTTGAACAGTATACACGAATTTATGACTAAGCACATGAAATCCTTTAAACAAATATTGGATCAACTGTCAAGATTAATGTTCAACCTGCAAATCCTAGTCCAGAAAATTCAACTGACAATAGGCCTCACTTCTAAAGGATCTACATCTGCTACATGGCTAGCAAAGAGAGTTTTAAATTTTGTAGACCCATAATTGGGTTTGATGGTTGTCTTTTGAAGGGCTTATGTGGAGGAGAAATATTGGCAGCCATAGGAAGATATCCAAATGACCAAATGATGTCAGTAGCCTTTGCAATTGTTGAAGGTGAAACAAAGGATAGTTGGTCATGGTTTCTAGATTTATTGATTGATGACCTTGGAGGTAGAAGCCAATGTTGCACATATACTTTCATATCATACCAACAGAAGGTTCTGATTTTGTGAAATTAAATCTCTTGAATTTATCTTGTATTTATTTTGTGCTTGATTATAATTTGTTGTATTTATTTCTTAGGGTCTCTTTCCAGCTATAGATGAGCTCTTACCGGGTGTGAAACAAAGGTTTTGTGTACTCCATTTGTACAATAATTTTAGGAAGAGATTTCCTGGAAAGAAGCTGAAAGAGATTATATGGTAAGCTGCCAAGTCAACATATCCACAATCTTGGGAAAGGGAAATAAGAGAAATGAGAGGTGTTAATGAGGAAGCGGTCAAGCACATGATGAAAACACCTCCTAGGTTTTGGAGCAAATCTCAATTCAAGACAACCTCTAAGTTTGACAGTATGTTGAACAACATGTCAGAGACCTTCAATAGTGTTATTGTTGAAGCAAGAGTTAATCCTATAGTGACAATGCTTAAAGAGATCAAAACATACTTAATGGAAAGGTGGGCAAAAAATAGAGGGAGATTTGCAAACCTTACTGATGATGACATCTTTCCCAACATGGTGAAGAGGTATTGTAGGTTATGTATTAGTATTAGTTTTGATAAACTGCTATGTTTTGAGATTTGGTTATGTTTTGATAAACTGCTAAGTTTTGAGATTTGGTTATGTTTTGATAAATTATTATATTTTGGCTATGTTTTGTAATCTCACTAGTGTTATATTTTGATAAACACTAAAAGCAACAAAAAATGAATTTCTCCAAAATATCTTCTACTTCATTGTGTTATTGGCAACCCCCTCAAATTCTTCAACTAATACTTCAGATTTAATCAATTTATGTTGTAATTATTCACTCTCTTTTGTTATGCATTCCGACCTTTTTTTTTAATCTTAATGAACATGTCCCTGTCATCTTTCACTTCAGCACAAAACTAATAAAAATAATCACATTTGTCTCCCCTGCACATGTTACATACAATATTATCGATGTGTAAAATTGCAATTATAAATTTAACAACATTGATCGTACCTTATAATGTGGACAACCCCAAAACTACTTCCCAAATTTTATGACGGTTTTGCCTTTCTGAGTACATCAAAATCACCACACCAACAATTAGGTCTCCATTGATTTTCCGAAGATGAAGAATCAACCCTAGATTCAGAATTATAACTCACATCTCCATCATACCCAGACCCCTTTTGCGACGGACCTGAACTTTTATGAGCTATTACTCTTCACAATCGATTTTTTTGCAGCGTCAACAAGATTAATGTTAAATAAGATGAAAGCATGAACAAAAGAAGATAAAGTCGTAATTTTACAGAAGATGAAGGCAAACGAAACAAACCCTAATTCACATGAAGCGTTCCTCACTTTGACATTTTTATAGAAGAAGTTGTCTTACCTGGAGCTGACATGACATTTGACATTGTCGCGTTTAACATCGTTACTGTGTTTTGACTCAAAAGGGTAAACATGGTACATATAATATAGTTGAGGGAATAAAATGACCCTTTTAAAATTTAAAGGAGCAAAATGAACCCCGACCCAAACATACGGGACGAAAAAGCCTATTTTGTCTAAATAATAATAAAAAAGAAAAAAATGACTCGTAAGATGAAGAAAGTTAAAGGAAGACTAAATATGTAACATCATGCTTTTTAATACTCGCGCTTTATTAAATAATGATTCAAACACATACACATTTATTCTAATACTCACACATTTTTAGCCAACCGATTAAATAAAATAAATAGAATTTTGACGCAAAATATCATCATATTAAAATATTCACATGATATCTCATGCTCACACTCATTTCGTATGAGATATCAAATTTTACATTGAATTTACAATTTATACATATTCTATAAATTAGAGTCAAATTTTATATATAGTCTAAATTTAATATGCATTAATATATATATATATATA